TGGGTCTACTATAAAGGTCCACTGACAAGTCTGTTCCTTTCAAATGAAGATTCCAGGCAGAGGTCTCCACAGTAAGGAAGTAGCCACTAAGATGTAGTCCTCAATCAGGAGCAGGCAGCATATTCTTGGAAAAACCAGAGGGGCTGTGTCAAACCAGGTGACTTCAACATGCTCTGCTTTGGAGCTCATTCTTCCCTGAGTTTACGCTCACCAGGAAGTACCCAGCTAGGATTTCAGAGTCCACTCATTCCATACAAAACAGCTGAGACCTTTGAGGGAAGTTTGCAGGTCAAGATAAGCTGACCCAAAAGAATAAAACTACTGTAAAAGAAAGAAGACAAACTGAGCATTTGCCTTTTGTGAAACAGGGTAATTGGAAACAATGGACTGAGTTTTAAATAAAACTAAAAGAACTTTCTTGGATGGGAACAGAAACTAAAGAGATGAAAAATAGAAAAAAAGTCATATGTTTTAAGTAAGTACTAGCCCTGATTTCCAAAGAATAAGAGTCTAATAAGATAAAGTGAAGAAAATGGAAGGCAGGAAATATCGAATAAGGAGGATAAGAGACAAAAGCTCTCCAATCAAAAGGCCTCAATGAGCGGCAAGAAGAACTAAAACAAACAAACAAAAGCAGCTTAGTAAGACCAAAAAAGATGAGACATACAGAAAAAAAATCTCTAAAATTTTTCAGAAGGAAAACACTGTGCAAAGGGTTAAATACATAATTTACCAAACTTCTGAGCAGTGTATTAGATATAGAAAATCAGGGGAAAATAGCTTCAAAATATTCAAGGATGTTGAACCCAGAATTTCATATTCAGCCAAAGTGTTATTTACATCCAAGAATGCCAAGAGGAATGGCTATTGAATGCCACAAAGATGTTTTGAGGCATGTGAGGTCACAAAAGTTTTGACATATAAAATCTCATTGAGCGAACTCTTAGACATATGTCAATAAAAAACAATAAGTCTAGGAAAGTTCCTCAAGAGAAATATGATGAAAAATGATTGTATTAGTAAAGTTTATTATTGTCTAAAAAAGAAAGGATCAAACAAAAGTTTGAAAAAGTTTAAGAATATTAATAACCATAAACTACAAACTTTAGACATACCAAGTTAAAGAAACTTAAGTGTGGTCTTAAATTAGATATGATAACTCAGTAATAAAAACAGAAAATAAAACTTTCAAGAAAATTTGAACTTTCCAATGAAAATCAAAAAAATGCAAAAGTAACATAGAAGTAAATGAAAACATAAAACAATTTAACAGAAATAGTTACTCAGTACGTAGAATTACAATACTCATAAAGGGATTTATCTGGATGTGAGGGTGATCTGGTTATGACATATCACCCTATTTTCTTCAAGATTGACTTGGCTGATCTGGGTGACTAGGTGCTGTCTCCTTCTTTTCTCATCACTCCATATGTGTCTCTCTTGAAGATGCGCACTCCGTAGAAGAGGATGACCTGCCCCAAGTAAAGGAGGACCTGTCTTCAGACAAGGGTGCAGCAGAGGTTGCACTCTCTGCCAAACAAGCTCTCAAAGGATTTATCTGACCAAAAAGATGCAGAAACTCTCTCTCAAACTAAGAGTGTGGGAGTGCTGCATTAGTAGACAAATGAACAGAAAAAAGGTGAAAGAGAAATAGAACTGAGCAAACAGGAAGTTTATTATATGAAAAGTTTATTATATCTCAAATTACTGGAGGAAATGTAGATATTTTCAGTAAGGATGCAGATAATCATTAGGAAAAGGATAAACTTGGAATCAAAGCTTACATTCCACCTCTGAGTAAACTGCAAACAGATTAGTGATTTCAATGTGTGAAGGAAATCATAGCAGTATTAGAGAATCTTCTCACATCTTGATTGGGAACATCTTCTCATTAGGACTTACAATCCAAATTCAAGAGTAGATCTTGATTAATATAACTACATCTAAAATTTTACTGTTCATGGCTAAAATCACTATAACCAAAGTAAATAAAAGACACTATATTCTGAGAAAATAATTTCAATGTATACCATAATATAAACAGCTAATACCCCTACTGTGTAAACAATTCATAAAAATTAAGGGACAACAACAAAAGGAAAGATGGCAAATGGCCTTTATATATAAAATATATAAAGAGAAATAGAATAAAGAAAATGCCAGAAAACCTAGAACAATACATTTGATATCTGCAAGACTGGCAAAAGTCCAAAAGCTTTGAAGAGCATTCTCTGGCAAGGAATAAAAAAGTTATAAAGTTATCTATTATAGTATCACTTATGACAAAATATCAGAGCTACCATTATGGATTTTAATTGATCATCTTTCTTATAATAATGTAACATGTTATGGCTTTTACTTGAAAATATATTCTGGAAATCTGACCATTTTACAGAAATATTCTTACTTGTATGGATAAACAGTGATTTATTCTGCCAATCTGTTATGCTTACATGAATTGCAGAGGGTTCCTAATATTATATCATAAATAACACTATAGTAGGTAACTTCATAAATATTTTGCTGTATGTTCATAGATCTTCAAAGTATATTAATTATTGAACGAAAGGTTAAATATGGGTATAATTGTGATACATATGATTCTTACTCCAGTCTCTTCTCCTTTGCTGTGATAAAAGTCTTTTAACAAAAGCAGCTTAGGCAAGAAAAGAGTTTATTTTCAGCTTCCAGGTTAAAGTTCGTTATCAAGGGAAGTCATGGCAGGAACTCAGAGCAGAAAACATAGGCAAATGCTGCTTACTGGCTCTTTCACTTGCTCCTGCTTAGCTTGCTTTCCTAAACAGCCTAGGACCGCTAGCCCAGGAATGGTAACAGCCACAATGGGCAGGCCTTCCTACATCAATTAACAATCGAAATTTCCCATTGCCCACAGGCCACTGATCTAGCAATTCTTTAATCAAGGTTTTTTTTTCAGATGACCCCAGGCTGTGTCAAACTGACAACTGACTCTAAGCAGGACAGTGATCAACCATGTTTGGTATTTTACTTTTTGTAAAGTATTTATAGGGGTCAAAAATATGAGAAGGTAACCCATATACAGCCAGGTTCTTCATTCCCTAGTGCTCTTTCATATTGTATCACATTTAAAGAATTTTTTTTTCATTTTGGCTAGTTGGCTTTGTTTTGTCTCAGTCTTAATGATATCTTCAGGAGGGTATATAGTCTCACTCTGCCTTGTCTGTTCAAGATCATAAATAGCACTATCTACTTCTCCTGTATCTTCTAAGAATGACAGAACTTTGTAAATTAAAGCAAATAATAACAATAATAAAATAAGAAGGCAACAAACAGCTCCTGGTCTTTGGACAACATGTGGAAAACTGATCATGTTTTGCAACTCTGGGAAGACGAAGAGACGGACTAAATACTCAGCTTTCTCTAGTCAAAGAGTGCAAAACCCTGATTCAGACAGAAACAAGTTAATCGGTTAAAGTAGTTTGAGACTCAGATAAGAATGCATTAAAATTCCTCATTTTAACATTCCAACTTATACCTATTAAGACTAACCCTTCAAACCATAGATGTACATCCAACATTAATGGCCACATTTAAGGGCTGAAATTAAGTGCTTTGTTGGTTTCTCTAGATAATTTACATATCATTACTTTATAATTCATGTTTTAATAATTTTTATTAGAACCAGTCAATGAAATGGAATGATATTACATTTAAGCTTGAAGGACCCTGGGGTCAGAGTTGCTAATCCTTTTTCTCCTTTAAAATTGTAATTGTCAATTTAAATATATATGTAGAAGTTAATGATTTATTTAATAAAGGAAAGCAAGAAACTAAAATTAATATTTATAGTAACACTGGGATTGTATTAAACCCACAATTAATGCTTATTTTATAATATAGAGGATGAGATGGAAAAAGCAAAGAAGTGGAGAAAACTCATTCCAGAGAAAAGGGGGAAGCAAAATATACCTACAAGACAGGAGAAAGCATTGTTTAACATAACTCAGCATTCTCCATAGTTCTTTAGTTACAGAAGCCAAAGAGTGGCCCAGCTATCTCAGGGCTCTTATGGACATGGTGGGAAGCCCCATTTCAGCCCCATTTCAGCTCTGCTCAAACTCCAGGAAGGGACAGTAATTGTACAAACAGCCTAAGGCCCAGGGATAGACTGGAACATTTGTGACACATTTAAGGAGTGAGAAATAGCCTAGGGAGTTCAGTTCAGTCCACAATATCCCATTTCATCCACATCTTGAGATTCCCAGAGAAGCTCCTGTGCAGCCCAGGGTGGCTGAGCTGCACACTGTAAAGCACAATTGACCAGAGAGTACACTCTGTTGTTTGTTCAGAGCATAAGTACCCTGCTAGATAATCACACCAGGAATGTGCCCCACTTGCCTAGAGGCCAGCATTTGGACTCTGCTCTGGAGGAAACAGGACGACAGATGCTAAGGAGATGGATCCCAAGGCCAGAGGGAGAGGACAAGCTCTTCCCTTTCTCCTTTGTCCCATTTCTCATTCAGCCAGGACTTGCCCTTAGACTCTTCCACTCTGGGTAAATTTGCCCACCTACCATATTCGTTCCATCTCTACCTCACGTCTTCTCAAGCCTGATGGCCAGAGACTGCCCAGGGTGGGGTGGGGTAGGGTGGAGTAGGGGCAATGCTTATGTGTTCCAGTCAGCTTTATGTCTGTTTAGGAGATCCTTAGTTCTGAACCAGAATTTTCTCAGAAACCCCTCCTCTACCCCACGCCTCTGAAGAAAGGGCTTGGCCAGTAAAGCATTTCTTGACAGCTCTGACAAGCCTTCAAAGAGATAATACTTCACAGCTGCCCCAAGTAATGAAAGGGAGAGGAAGCATTTTTAAATGTTATTTTAAATATTTTAAAAGTATTTTTAATTTTTAAACGTTGAAAAGCTATAGTAGAAAGCAGTGAGGAAATTAAATCAGAATTTTATTGAGTGAATTCCTTCTGGAACCCTCTCAAAGGTTAGTGAGTAGACAAAGAGGCCAACTTACAGAGTCACTTCAGAGATGTGTTTACAGACTTCTCAAATCTCACAGATCCTGTAAAGTAAAAGAAAGAAGGAAGTGGTAGTCTCAACTGCAGGCCTGGATTCCTGAATGTGGGGCTTGATCTCCCTCAGCTCATGGAGAGTGGGCTGCTGTCTGAGGGTGCAGGTACCCAGCTTCAGTCACTGGTAACAGGCTGGTAAACACACAGCCAGACAGATGGGCAGGTTCCCTGTTTCTCAGACCCCCCACAAAGGTCTGGACAAGCAGATGGGTCCTTCCTCCAGGCTCTCTAGATTAATGTGTCCTTCTTACCAATTATGAAGAGAAGGAAATGTAATTTTCTTCCCATGTTTATAGTGTTCAGGATTAATCTGCCTGTAAGTGGATATTCGGCCAGCTTCCTGAGACACTGAAGTACTATAGGGTGGAGTAGGAGGTGCAGAAGAGGTTTACCAGTGGGTGATGCCATCTGCTTTATTAGGTTGTTTTATAAACCTGATGTTCAATTTGTTCTGGAGGACTTGGTGATGGATTATTCTGTGAATTCTCAAATAATTACAATAACCAGAGAAAATAAAAAGGGGAAGAGGGAACTGGGCACACTGGTGAGTAATTATCCCCTAGATAGCACAATCCTTAGCACTTCCCAGTGTGGCCAGAAGACCAGCCTTAGAGGCAGGATAGACAGAAAGGCCCAAATGGTCATTTATTTTTTGAGTCCCCTATTATGATCCTTATTGTCAGATGTTCAGGCTTTCTAGTTTTGCCAACAATATGGTGAGTTCAAGTAAATGGGGAATGTTCTGATTTCAGGCTTAAAATGTGTGTATCGTATTCTTTCTTTTGGCACATGAATCCAAATCTCACTGCTGTCCTTATTAGCTGTGAGGTACAGTAAAGCACTTTGAACAATGACTGGCACATAGTAAGTGCCCCCTGTATTAATGGTATGATTATTTTATCCATGCATGCTTGGTAGAATTCTATGACTGGATCTGGAACTCATAAGGTAGAAATAGAATCCCAAGCAGCAGGCCCCTTAGCAACCACTGGGTGCAGGCCTGCCATTCAACCTAGGGGTGAACACTGAAAGTAAAGAAGACCACCCTTCCACACAGGTGGTGGCTCCATCATTCAACCCCTCACCCCCTTCACCTCCAACTCCAGACTCCTCACAAAGCTAGTACCTGCACTTCCCTGCAAATCCATCATGAGCCCCCAGGGTTGTATTTTTAAAACTTTTAGGTACATCCCTAATATCTACCTTTCAAATTTATTTATTTATCACATATCTATCTATCTATCATCTATCATTTGTGTGTGGGTGCGTGTGTGGGGGGTGAGAGAAAGAGAGGGGGGAGAGAGAGAGAGAGAGAGAGAGAGAGAGAGAGAGAGAGAGAGAGAGAGAATGAGAATGCAGGCCAAGCCAGCCTTGGAACTTGAGGATGACTTTGAATTTATTATCTTCCTGTTTCTACCTCCTAAGTGCAGGTATTACTGGTATGTACCACTATACCCAGTATAGTGTTAAAAGAGTGATCAAACCCAAGGCTTCCTGCTTGCTAAGTAAGGGCCCTACCCAGGCACCATTTCACAGTTCTGAATTCTATGTTCAAGATTTCTGTAGTCTTATTTGCACTTGTCATAAGGTGTTGGGGGCTAACAACCAGTAATGCATGGCCTTTAGCCACCTACTTGGCTCCAGTTCTGTCCTCTGGAGTCAATGCTCTGAGTCCACGAGAATGGTCACAGCATTTCAGAAGAGACAACTGTCAACACTGAGATCCCTCTTCCTGGTGACTTTGGCAACTTGATATTGACAATCTTTTGCCTACACTGGTTACTAAAATAATAAATGAGGCTCAGGGAATACTCTGCAACCTCCCACAGAGAAGTAGTGCCCCAGTGACTACTGAAAAGAACACCCTCTCCATCCCAAGTGCAGTCCAGACTATCCTCAAGCTCTCAGTTGTGTAAATGTTACAAAAGCCAAGAATGTCACATAGTCAATATTGCCTGGAGTTTAGCAAGCAGCAGGCTGCTGTGCTATGGAAACCCTACTACTCTTCTTCTCTGTGAAAGATCCTTTCCCTGTGGGCTGCTTGAGATAGCTACTTACCTTTCAGGGATGTGCTCAGAACTCTGGCTGACCAATCAGAGTATGTCATGTCCTGTGACACATAATTGGATTAGGAATGATTACACGACCCAACACCCAACAATCAGATATTTTGTTGGGGCTTTTTTGTCAAAGCTAATGGAGAAGCAACTTTATTCTTCTGCTGTTGCTAATCTGATGGGATAAAAGCCCAAGACTACTGGAGGCTGCTATGTTCAAAACATAGAAAGTCCTGATGATGTGGTTGGGGTTCTGAACCCAGCTGTGCCTGAAAGTAGACCTACTCTCTACCCTTTCAGAAAAGCCAAAGACTTCTGTGGCCTTTGTGGTGGTTTGAAAGAAAATAGCCCCCATAGGGAATGGAACTATTAGGAGGTGTGGCCTTGTTGGGAGTAGGTATGGCCTTGATGGAGGAAGTGTATCACAATGTGTGGGTGGGTCTGAAGGGTGAAAAGGGCCAAGAAAAGCACACCCTGCCCCTGACTTGACCTGAGACCTAGGCCAAGGAAAAGCACCCTGACCCTGACTTGACCCCAAGACCAGAGCCAAGGACTTGAAATCTCACCAGTCCCTGAGCTTGCCCCAAGATCAGGCCACAAAATCCCACCAATCCCTGAGCTTGTTTCAGAGTCTGACCACAGAATCCCATCATGCTCAGGACTTGAAATACCACCATCCCCATCATGGAAATCTCAACCCTGAAAAGCTCCACACCCCCACCCAAAGAAACCCTATATAAGCCTTGCATTCTGTTCAGTTTGCTGCTGCTTCTCACCCTAGCAGAGGCAACCACCCTCCTGGATTTTTCCCTTCTGATAAATCTCTTGAGTGAGGTTTGTTGTGCAGTGTGACACTTTTGCTGGAGCAGAGAGCTGTAAGCTGTAACAACTTTCTCTGGGAAAACTTTCTGCTAGATGAGCAGAGCTGTAACACTTTTGCTGGGGAAAACTGGAAACCAGTCCCCACCAAAGCAGAGCTGTTATCCTTGCACTGGGGAAACCTTTCAGGAGCAGAGCTGTAATACTTCTGGAGCAGAGCTTCAATGCTTACAGTGACTTTGTGGTATTCCTTGGCTCCTGACTGCCAGTATATCTTTACCATCTGAGCTGCAGTGTTTACAAGGTCTCCTATGCTCAAGCTACGCTCACTGTGACACACAGTTGCTTCTGCTGCCTTTGGATCAGGATGTAGAATTCTCAGCTCCTTCTCCAGCACCATGTCTGCCTGTACACTGCCACAGTTCCTGCCAAGATAATGGATTAAACCTCTGAAACTGTAAGTCAGCCCCAATTAAATGTTTTCCTTTATAAGAGTTGCCTTGGTCTCTCTTCACAGCAATAGGAACCCTAACTAAGACAGCCTGGTAGCATGAGTAGCATTTTTGTCCAACAAAGACTTGTTAGTATAAGTTATGATTGGCGCGCCATCCCCATTCTCACACCTCATCTCACAAATTCTGGGTGTTTATCAAGGAAGGATGAGGACAGTGGTAGTCTCCCACATCTCAATATATACTGGATTACACAGTAATAATCTAGTTTTCAGCTGCTCTTCTTTTATTTAAGCCAATCTTTTCCATTTTCTGTTTCACAGTTTAGGCAATATATGAATAAAAATGTTTATTTAGGCTCTTGTTTCTACCTGAGACCAAGGGCTGTGTCTGCTTTCTTTCTGGCAGAATCCTGAGTTGGTATATGGTATACATGGCAAGAGATAAAGAAGGCTCCAGAGACCTGGCCAGACTGACTTTCATAGCAGATCTACTCTTGAGATACCTATTGTCTTAATTAGGGTTACTATTGCTATGATGAAACATCATAACCAAAAAGCAAGTTAGGGAGGAAAGGGTTTATTTGGCTTACACTTCCACATTGTAGTCCATCACTGAAGGAAGTCAGGACAGGAACTCAAATAGGGCAGGAGCCTGGAGGCAGGAGCTGATGCAGAGGTCATGGAGGGTTGCTACTTACTGGCTTATTCCCCATGGTTTGTCCAGACTGATTTCTTATGGACCCTAGGACTACCAGCCCAGGGATGGTACCACCCACAATGGGCTGAGCCCTTCCCCATCAATCACTAATTAAGAAAATGCCCTATAGGCTTACCTGCACCCAGATCTTATTATCTTAATTGAGGTTCCCTCCTCTCAAATGACTTTAGCTTGTGTCAAGTTGACATAAAACTATCCAGCACATCTATTAATCCACTAATTTATTAGTCAGGTGGATGGGTTAATATACTCATGAGGGCAGAGTCCTAATCTTTAATTCCTTATAGTTCCATCTGGCCCTACCTCTTAACATTTTACAAGAGGATTAAGTTTCAGCATGAGATTCAAAAAGTACAAATCATATTCACACCATATTACCACATTATCTATGATAATTTTTTGAGGCAGCATCTATGTTAAAAGACAGTATACAACTGTGGGCTTTAAATGAAGCAATGTGCCACCATAGCACTGGTAAGTTATAAACTGTTGAGACCGCAGGTGTGCACCATCATGCCTGGCTCCCCTTCTCTAGTGTTATCCTCTAGTGTACTGGCATGTGTGTTTCTCCAACCCTCTTCCAAGATTTCAAGTCTCTGATATTTGAGGGTGTAAGAGTGCTTGTGTCTACATGAGTATGTACTTGGTAAGAGAGACAAATAAAGCAGGATGGACTGCCAAAAGCATAAATACTACAAGATGGGGGAGGGGGAAATGTAAGTCAGCAGGGCACCTGGAGGCTGCAGTGTGTTAGGCTCTGTTCAGCCTGCTTTATGTTACCATGCATTCAGACCCCACTTTCTCCTAGGAGAGGACTGAAGGAACCCACAGCTATGGCTGCTGAGAAGCAGAGCACAAAGAGCTAAATGTGGTGTTTATTATCTGTTCTGTCCATTTAACTGGGGCTTGCTTACAGTTTCAGAGGATAAGTCCATGACTATCATGGTGAGGACATTGGAGCAGCATCAGACATAGTGCTGAAGCAGTAGCTGAGAGGTTACATGTTGAGACAACAACCAAAGATAGAGTCAGAGGGGGAGAGAGAGAGAGAGAGAGAGAGAGAGAACTAAATGGTAATGATGTGAGCTTTTGAAACTTCCAAGCCCACCCGAAGTGACACACCTCCTAATCCTTCCCAAACAGTTCCACCAACTGTGAACTAAGTATTCAAACATATGAGCCTATTGGAGACATTCTCATTCAAGCTACTGCAGTGACACTCATTTGTACTCACATATCATGGCTGGCCCACAGCAACGTTTTCCTACACACAGGCTTAGTCAAGGAAGAAGGACAATAACAGTAGCCTCTCAGCATCAGAAACAAGGTTAGGATACCTGCATTTAAAAAAAAAATTTAGTTTGCTTTCTTTGTAGTACTGACAATAGAACACAAGGTTTTAAGCATGCTGGGAAAAGATTTGACCACTGAAGTACACCACATACTTATTTTAAATTTTTATTTAATATACTACTGAAGTTCTAGCCTCTATAGTAAAGCAAGAAAAAGAAATTAAAAGCATACATGTTATAAGAAGAAGGATTACAATAACATCAAAACATATAAAATACTTAAGAATAAATTTAACAAAAAGGCTTCAAATTGAACACTATAAAATGACAATGAGAAATTTAAAGAATTATCTACATAAGTGATGACATACACTATGTTCAGGCACAAAATACTCAATATCTTTAAGATCTCCAAACTGATCTTCAACTTCAATATAAGACTAGTTAAAATCCTGTGGGGCATTTACCCACCACCCCCACAGTTCCCCAGAGTTTTCTTGAGTGCAAGCAGCAGGAAATATTAGATAGAAAGATTTATTGTGGAGAATATTGTGGTGATAAACAGATAGAAAATAAAGGATAGCCTCGAGAGGGCCTGGAACCTATTCCAACAGGCCCCGACTGTCTCTGCCCCAGGGTTTTTATAGAGATGCCAAGGGGTGGAGCAAAAGACCTCCTCCCCCAGCACAACCAAGTGCAGACCATCTCAGATACCTGCACTCAGGCCTGTGGTCCTAATCATCCTCTATGCGGACCTGCTGGGTAAAGCCGCAAGGAACCTGAGAATGGGCTCCCACAAAATCCCAAATAAATTCTCTTTGGACAATTAACAAACTTATTCTAAGGTTTGTATTGTAATGGAAGCTACATTGTGGCATACCCACGATAATGAGAAGACCAAAGCTGGAGGCTGGGCTGTGATAATTTCACCTCAGGTAAATAACATAAAACTTAATGCAAACAATTTACAGAGTAATATCAAATGTTAAATAAAATTAGATCAAGGCTCCTATCATCTAAGTTCAAGACTTAGTAAACAGCTACTATACTTAAAGCAGTTTGAAGCAAGTGCAAAGCCAGATCTATGGAACACAGCAGTAAGCCAAGGAGTAGAACTGTAGTAATATATTATCAATTTTCAAATTTTTATTTATTTTTGTTTTATTTGAGACAGGATCTTACTATTATGTGGCCATGGCTGACCTAGAACTCATGTAGGCTGAACTGGCCTCAAATTCCCAGAGATCTACTTGCCTCTGCTTGAATTAAGTGTGTGCCACCAAGACTAGCCCTCTATTTTTGATAAAGTATGACTGTTTTTCCGGAAGGTTAATAATGCAGTTAGATATCCCTACAGAAAAAAAAAAAAAAAAAAAGAAGTTAACTGAGTTCTTATCTCACACTGTACCAAAGACTGATTCAAAATGCCTCATCCATCTATACATAAAACCTGAAACTATAAGAAAATATAGGAGAAATATTAGTGACCTTAGGATAAGCAATTTTTTATGGGGAGGGGCAGTGCAATTAAAGAAAACAGCCACAATATAAACTATCAATCAACAGACTTCACCAAAGGTTTAAGACTTCTAGTCTTGAAAAGGCATTACATTAAAAAAAAAAAAAAAGAAAGAAAAAGAAGAAGGAGAAGAAAACGCAGGCCGATGTGGTGATGAATGCCTTTAATTCCAGCAGCAGGGAGGAAGAGGCAGGTTGTTGATCTTTGTGAGTTTGAGGCCCTCGGGGTCTTTATAATGAGTTCAAGGCCAGCAAGGGTTACACAGTAAGACACTGTCTAAGTAAATAAATAGATCAAAGAAAAGGCAAGCAACAGACCAGGAGAAAACATTTGCAATTCATATATGTGACACAGGGCACATACCCAAAAATACAGAAAGAACTATCACAATTCACATAAAGAACAAAATCTCATTTGAGAAATCAGCAATACACTTAACTCACCAAAAGTTTCTATATGCTTCCACTAAGCATTTTAAAAGATAGTCAACATGAGCTGGAGAGATTGCTCAGGAGTTAACAGTACTTGCCATTTTTGCAAGGACCTGGTTCCATTCCCAGCACTCACATGGAGGTTCACAACCATTTCAACTGCAGTTCCAGGGAATCTGTTACAATTTTCTGAACTCTGTGGGCACCAAGCAAGCACAAGGTGCACATAAAATATGCAGGCAAAACACTCATATACACACCCTCAGAGGCACAGATTTAAAATCTTTAATTTTTATTATTTTATGAGTATGATTGTTTTGCCTGCATGTATACATATGTATGCATGTGCACTATGTTTATGGTTGTTGCCCATGGATACCAGAAAAGAGGATCTAGTACCCTGGGACTGGAGTTTAGACAGTTGTGAGCTGCCATGTGGGTACTGGAAATCAAACCAGGGCCCTATGCAAGAGTAACAAGTGCTCATAACCAGTGACCCAACCTCCAGCTTCAAACTTTAGTATCTTAAAAACTGTTTTCAGATTTAAAATCAAAATAATGTATTTGCCCTTAGAATTATTCCGAGGTTGTCTACTGCCAAATGTAATCAGGCTGGAAGAAAGAATAACTAAATTGGCTGATCTGCCATCTCCAAATTTCCCAGGAAATGGGCATTTTCATACTAAGACCCAGAATAGAAATGGCCATCATTCTACTTGTCAGTCAGTAATCAGACAGGGGCCTGAAAGCAACTGATCTAGTCTTCCTCTTCCCAGAGACATGGGCTTATTGACAGGAACAGGAAGCTTGAGCCAATATTTCTCCCTTTCTTTACAAATGGGAAAACTAAGCCCTAAGAAACTTTTGGTGTGCCTAAGTCACAGATCTTAAGTCTCCATCCACTCCATCTCTCTGGGCTTTAAGATAGATGATATAGAAAGAGGACAGAGGGATAAGCCCTCCTATTCCAGGGAAAGTCCACAAGAAAGTGGCACCAAGAAGCATCTGGTAGAGTACAGAAATCCTCTTTCCAGCATGTTTGTCTACTACCCAGACTTCCCTCCCAGAAAGCTCCATGACTTCGCTGCTCCAGTGCCTTTTGCGGATCTATTTAACTGAGAGACACAGTGTTTGCCCATGTGCTTTGATCCTGCAGGCAGGCACTGGTAGCTTTTGTTCTATTATTCACAGGAGGGTGGATGCTGAGTTGTCTCTCTTATTACAGGCCATGGCTGGACTGCCCACCACCTCCCCAAGGCCACTGGATAATGTCCATCAATAAGTGAGTAGCAGCAGGTGGATTTAAATATCTTTTGGCAAAAGATTTGCATCATTTCAGGATTAGTTTTCTATAAGCCTCCTCTTTGAAAAAGACAGGGAGAGGAAACAATGAACATAAAAAATGATAGAAGTACATGTAAAGATGCTAAGAGGCATGTTTTCTCTAACTGAGTGACAAGCTTTTGGAGCTAGATCCTCCTTATGTACTGTCATAAATTGCTTCATGGCAGGGACACATCATGATAAATGCATTTTGTCATCAAGCAAATATTACAGAATGTATTCATATAAATGTAGATGGGGTAGCTTGCTGTGGGATGTTGTTCTGTATGAATATATATTGCTCTGATTAGTTGATAAATAAAGCTGTTTGGCCAATGGTGAGGCAGAATAAGGTTAGGCAGGACATTCCAGCTGGAGATCGAAGAAGGAAAAGGAGAGCTGAGGACACACCGCTAACCACCATGAGAACCAAGATGGAAAGTACCAGTAAGCCACAAGCCATGTGGCAAAGTATAGATTTATAAAAAATGGGTTAATTTAAGATGTAAGAGCTAGCTAGTGAGAAACCTGAGCCAGTAGGTCATATAGCTTGAAAATAATATAAGTCTCTGAATGATTATTTTAAAAGTGGTTGTGGGACTGCACGGCCACAGGAGCCAGGCAGGACCAGAGAAAACATACAACTACAGTAGGTCTTCATTTAATGCTGCCTTTGATATGAGAGCAGTGAACATATGGTATATGAAACTGTTGCTGATAAATCTGGTGTACTATTTAACTGTAAACTTTTAAAAACGAATGTACTCTAAAATAATAATTAGAAGTAATATAAATACATAAATCAATAAAATAATCATTTATTATCAAGTATTATGCATTGAACTTAGTAATGTGCATTATACTTTTATACAAGGTAGTTAGATAGATCTATTTACTACCTTTTGACAAATGTGTGAGTGACAGACACACTGCACTATGACATTTAAATGGCTATGGTGGCCAATATGAATGTTTCAGTTTCATCATAATCTTTTTTTTTTGTTTATGTTTTTCTTTTTTATTTTATAATTTAATTTAATTTTTTTAAATTTTATTTTACAATACCATTCAGTTCTACATATCAGCCACGGGTTCCCCTATTCTCCCCCCTCCCACACCCTCCCCTTACCCCCAGCCCAGCCCCCATTCCCACCTCCTCCAGGGCAAATCCTCCCCCGAGGACTGCCATCAACCTGGTAGACTCAATCTAGGCAGGTCCAGTCCCTTCCTCCCAGACTGAGCCAAGTGTCCCTGCATAAGCTCCAGGTTTCAAACAGCCAACTCATGCAATGAGCACAGGACTTGGTCCCACTGCCTAGTTGCCTCCCAAACTGATTCATCATAATCTTAAAAGACCACCACTGTATATGAGTTCATCAGTGATTGAAGCTTCACTATATATAACTGCATATCTGTTGCCTTATACCTAGCACATTGTGGTACAGCCACTAATGATATCTGAGTGGACTTATATAACTGGCAAACATCTTCCAAGTTTCAATGCCTCCAAAACTCAGTAAAAGAATGGAGTGGATATCAGGAAACCTGGGCTCTAATTCCAGCTGTATCACAAGCTTGCTGAGTGATCAGGCCAGTCCCTTCTATCTGGATCTCAATGTATCCCTTTGTGCAATATGAACATTGTGCCAGCTCATCAATGAGGTCATGTCCTTAGATATTTCTTGAAGAACATGAGATATTGTGTCATCATACTGAGGGCATCCCATGAGCCTTACACACCCACAGTGCCTGTGATGCAGATAAATGGCAAAAATCCAGGCACCTGTGGCCACTGCCAATATTGGAGAGAAAGGGGTCTCTCTGAATGTAATGCATGATTTCTACAAAAGTGATGAGACCACTTTCAGTCTTGTCACTTTTGAAATTGCTCTCCTTTTGTCCCAAATTCACACAAAAAGGTCCTCCTGGAGGACTGGATGACAGCCATCAAGGGACATAGTCTGGACCAGAGATAACATGAAAATGGGAAGGCCCTGAAGAGACCATTTCTCAGCAGACAGCACTCAAGAATTCAGGTGGAAAAATGGAATAATCAACATACCCTTGAAAAGGGACAGAAGGTGAGTGATAATGTTAAGGACTAATCTTCAAATACCAGGCTGGAGGAAACACATTCCAAAGTGACTGCTTCAGACAGAATAGGGTGGGACCCAAGAAGATCAAGCAAGGACAGCGAAGAGTCTGGAGATAGGAGCCCTCAGCTGCACTAGCTAAGGAAGAAAAATGAACTCAACTTGTAATTATCATTTAGTGGGTTCACATTTCCTAGCTTAGCCTTACATATGGTTGGGGAGACCTTTCTGCTAAGCATGGGCAGGCCCTGGGCCATCTTGGGCAGTGTGTCTCCTCATGTTATTTATGCCTTTCGTGAAAATGAGCAGAGACGACATGTACTCTGTACACTGCCCGGGAGGAGCGCGGGCCAGCTCTAGTCTCCATCTGGACTTATTGTCCCCAGTGCCCTCCAAAATGGGAAGCTATTGGGCCCAGTGCCCTTTCAAGGTCAGGGTTCGCCCAAGCTGGGAGGGGCGAGGGGTGGTTCCTGTTACTGTTCTCACCTGACTCCCAAACAATGCAGAACAGGGCGGTTTGCCTGGCACTTTTGTCTATTTTTCCTGTAATCCTCTCCTCCTGGCCTGTGTGGACCTGGAAAATCACCGCATTTGGCTGGACGCCTGAAGCAGATCTTCACTTCCGCCACAAGTCATGGCTCTGAGCAGCCACCAGAGAGTGCACGTGAGCTACAGTGCCCACCCGGCGCTGCAGTTTGCGCTTGCGCACAAGTCCCCCACCTCCACCTCCTGCACAGGCCTGTGCAGCCAGCAGTTGCTTTCCAGAGAAGTGACGCTGAGTGAGGTCCCAGGAGGAAACAGTGGTTAGATTGAGGGCTTTCAAGCCAAGATCCCTCATCTGGGGTCCAGAGGCTCCAGATGAGGAGCCAAAAAGCCAAGAGCTGAAACTAAGGCGTGAGGATTGGGAGTACACCCTCCAGGCTGCTCTAAGCCAATTTGGCCCTCAAAGTGGGTTCTTGCTTTCACTTCCAGTCCAAGTCCTCAGCACGCCCATCCCTGCCCTCAGCTGCCCCATTACCAGCCCTCAACCGCTATCAGATCACCCCACCCTGGCCCTTGGCCCTGGACTCCATTTCAACTCTCAACACTCCTTCCCTGAGGCCTTCAACCTCAGTCTGCAACCTCATGAGGCTCTTGGAAACCGAAAGCCCTTTATAGACCCACCCATGGTCTTTTTTTCTGAATGAGCAAGTCACTCCAATCTTTTGCCCCCAGAATCCCACCACCCCAGAGACTGCAAATGTTATATAGCTCATGGTCACAGCAAGGAAAAGAGGCTCAGGGACCCAAGGTCAATCATTCAGGAGAAAGCAGGGAAGAGTAAATCAGACTCCCATTTATCCTTTAGGAGCCCAAGTGGCTGCCTTGGCTCTTAGAGAAGGCCCACAGTTAAATATGTCTCAAGGTCTGTTGGCAACATCTGCCCCTAAAACAGGGACTTGGAAGATGCTTTTTGTTAAACCTCTTCAACAGGGCCCAGAAAGTAGCTGAAAGCTGAATGAAAAGCCTGGAATTTCTGTTCTCATTTCACTTTGTCTCCATCTCCTGCTGGATCTAGCTTAGGCTTGCTAATCATTCAAGGAGTCCTGCTGGATCTAGCTTAGGCTTGCTAATCATTCAAGGAGTCTTGTACCAAATTTGTCTCACCGTCTTTTGAGAATAAAGGCATAAAGGAAGTTATTGTTCAAACTACAGTTACTTTGGATTCCCAAAAAATCAAATCCTTTTAAAACAGAAAATTTCATCCCCCCAGATGAGGATGCATCTTGGAGCAGAAGTAATCACCTTGTAGGACTGACATTGTTCACCTCAAGTGATATCGGCCCTAACAATTTCTTCAGATCACCTTTCAGAACCAGAACTGAGATGATGAGTTAAATGTGGGGCCAATGAGTTGTAATTCCAGGATGGCCAACCAAGTTACATCTTTATGACTGCTTAGTGAGGAGTATCTGTCCCCTCTTGCTCCAGTGCCTCTTCTATTTAAACCTAAAGCTCCTGTCAGTATCTTGAAGATGGACATGGGGGTCACTGGCCCCTTTATCTGTTCCTCTTCCTAACGCTTTAGATAAATTTCCTTTTCTCTTCTTTACCAGTACTCTAATTGGTGTATTAGAATACACTGGGTTTAGCCTTTTGGTACTACTGAAGCCAGGGCCTTTTTCTTAAAGTGCCACTTATTCCCAGCTTACCAAAAAAACCAAAACAAAACAAACAAAAAAAAACGCAAAAATTATTTTAGCTGTTCTCCATCTCCTGGTTTTGATCATTCAACTCCAGGATCCCAGCCTACCCAACCTTTATAATGGGCTAGCTTTTTAAAATATTGACTGAAACACCATTTCTTCTAGAAAACTTTGCAGGCCTTTGCTGTACCTCTCCTGGAAGCTCTTCCAACACTGCATTCCAGGGGAGCTCACCATTTATTTCTGTTTCTCTGGCCCTCTTCTTCCACCAAAACAACTAATTGATTTATCCTCAGCATCTAAGGAATGCATGACAAGAAACCCATTAAATTTGTGAGTTGATCAAACCCACCTTGAGGTGGGGGTGCACGTTTCAATTGTAGTTTTCCAGCTTTCGCTCTTGTAGCTAAAATAAACTGATTCATAGCACAGAGGAGCCTGTTCTTGGTGGCAGAGATGGGAAACCAAGTCTCAGAATGGAAGCCTGTTCTTTTCCAGTTCTTGGCAGAACATTATTGTTTATTGCTTCTGCAGCCTGAAGAATAATTTCCAACATATTCTTCTTACTTCTGTAGTCCAGAGAGTACTTTCTAACCTATGTTATTCTCTACATTTCACTCATGGAAAGAACTTTAAAACAGACATTTCAAAGCATACACTAGGGTCTGACAGAGGTTGAGAGACTGAGAATGCCACTTCAGTCAGAGCAGCTACATTTGAATTTTTTTTTATCTTGGTATTAATTTTGGAAAAGAAAAGAAGCCAAGAACTCTGCTTTCTAAAATGTTTTTTGTGGAGGAGGGTGTGGGTGTGGGCCTTGTGTATATGGAAACTCTCTGTACTTGCTGCTCAATTTTGTTGTGAACCTGAAACTTCTCTACAAAATGCAGTTTAATTTCTTAAAAATGTTTTGAAGTCCGTGGAGCCAGAGTGCTGTAGATTAGAGCAGCTGAAGAGCTGTGAACAATTATTCGGCACTGATAATTTCTAAAGGCTGTAGCTAGTCCTCAGTGAGGCACATATAGGATTATAACTTCCCAACCTAGAGTGTTTCTTCTTCCTCTCATGTGTGACCTAATTGTGTGATGATGCCCATAGCTTCTTCCCTGATAGCAGGAAGTCTGTTTTTATTGGTTATATAAATGTAATAAAAAATCTTTATAGAGAAAGCTACACTGTGGCTTATTTGAAGATGGAGAGTTCACCATTTTATATATGTTTTCCTTCTTGTTTTTGTTGTTAATTTTTTGTTGTTATTTTTCTCTTCCCCTTCCTTTCTTCCTTCCTTTCTTTCTTTTGTTTTTTCTTTCTTCTCTCTCTCTCTCTCTTTCTCTGTCTCTCCCTCCCTTCTTTCCTTTCTTTCTTCCCAGTCTGAGTCTGATCTCAAACTCACAGTCCCCTGTCTCTGATTACCAATTACTGGAATTATAAATCTATGCTATCTCACCCAGATATATTTCTTTTTAAATATTTATTTGAATCTCTGGATTTGCTGATGTGAATCCCCTCGACACCCCCCACACCCCCTCCACCCCATCCCACACCTGTATGCATCCAAAGAAGTCCAAGTCCTAGTCCCTAGTACCTGTGACTATGTTACCTTATCAGGCCCAAGAAACTTTATAACTGAGATTGCAGTAAAAATCTTGAGATGGCCTGAGGTCCCACCCACCCCTACCTAGCTCATAGCTATTGGCAATTGATAGCTGCTGAAGAAACCAACCAAGAGTCAATTTTCTTCAGATAATTGGCCTCTGGAACATTGCCCTGTCTTTGTAGATGGCCCTACACCCATATACTTATGAGAAGTTGTAATTGGGTTCAGTGGGTTATAAAAAAAAATTAAAAATGAGTATATGAAGCTAAGAGAGCCTGAGAGATTAGAGATGCAGGGACAGGGGTGGGCATAATCAAAGGTAATATATGTGTAAATCTCAAGGAATATTAACAAAAAGTTTAAAAGACTCTTTAGATGGGAATATTACTCTTGAGTATCTATGTGGGCTTGATATTGAGAGAGTCCCTGAAGGTGTCACACAGGGAAGTGAGCCCTGCAAAGAGATAAGAATGAAAACCTGGTGTAGATTGACTTCGTCAACCTGGATCAGACTTCAAGGAGTCTAATAACAGGTGGTTTATTCCCAATATATTTAAGTCCAGTATAATCTGGGGGGGGGGTTTCCTGGTGTAATATAATCCCTGTTGCACAAGAAAGCATAATTACATTGAAACTCACTCGGTGTACATGTCATTTCCTCCAAGAATATGGGTTCTAGAGATAGGATACATGTACTAGCTTAAGAGCCTAAGAGTCTGTCCTGGTCTCTGTCATACAGATAGCTTAGAGGTCATTTGAGCTGTTAACCACCCCTGGTCCTGGTTGTGAGAGTTTGGGGCAGCCTCTGGCTATCTGGGTCATTTAGATTACTAGCCATTTCTGTCTTGTTGTAAGAGCTTGATATGACCTGGCCCAACAGATTACACAGATCACCAAGGAGTTAATCACCTCCAATTATCAGCTTTCTGGATGGAAGAAGAGGTTTTTCATCTTTACCATTGGAAAGACAATTTTGTATGCTCAACATTCCTGGTTTTTCTGGAGATCTGTAGGTACAAGGACCTTCATGCTATGCTCCCAATATGATGGAATTAAAAGGCCCTGTCTTAGTGAAGGTTTCTATTGCTGTGACAAAACACCATGACCAAAAAGAAAGTTGAGGAGGAAGGGGTTTATTAGGCTTACACTTCAGCATTGCTGTTCTTCACTGAAGGAAGTCAGGACAGGAACTCGAGCAGGGCAGGATTCTGGAGTGCAGGAGCTGATTCAGAGGCCATGGAGGAGTGCTGCTTACTGGCTTGCTTCCCCTGACCCACTCAGCCTACCTTCTTATAGAACCCAGGACCACCTGCCCAGGGATGGCACCACCTACCATGGGCTGAACACTCCCTCAATGTTTTCTAAATGAGAAAATACCTTATAGCTGGATCTCATTGAGGCATTTCCTCAACTGAGGCTCCTTCCTCTCTGATGACTCTAGCTTGTGTCAAGTTGATACACAAAATGAACCAGTACAAGCCCCTTAAAAAAAAATGAGGACACAGCTTTAGAGTAGGGACAGGAACTTACAGATAGTACAGTAATTCTCTGTGAACTAGACACAGACACTAGCTTTAAAGAAGGAGCAACAAGCCAAGGAAGGAAAGACTTTCTATGCTTGACTAATTTTATTCAACAGAATGTGCTCCATTTCCATCCATGTTGCTGTAACATTTATAGGTTGTAATTCTTTCATGCACTGTATATATCCACCTCACTTTATCTATTCATCTGTTTACACATTTAGGTTGACTCTATATCTTGGCTATTGTTAATAATGCTGTAATAAACAAGATGTGCAGATTGTTAATAACCTGTCTCTTGGAAGCCAATGTTAGTATTCTGACCTGCCCCTTGGCACCGCCCTGCATCCTGATGTAAAAA